TAGCTTTAAGTTACCACATCGCCGTGTTTGTGTTATGTAATTTCTTTTCATATATTCATCTGTCTGTTTGTGAATATACTGGGTGTGTCTTAAAACAGACCTTGATGGTAGTTACACCTCTAATCGAAATTAGACTGTCTTGACACAAACTCGACTCGAGTGATTGAAAAAGAGAGAGCCCATGTTATACCATGTGCTTGTGGTTACCTCTTTGATCACACTGTGTATTGATGAGCTACTGTGTAGTCAGACATAATTTTAATGTAATGCTCTATGATCTCGTATTGCACTCGTTTCCTGTAAATCTGGAGGTAACTTGAAGGCAAACTTGGCACAATTTAAGGAAAATAGTCCTGCAGCCATGTTTCACTTCAATTTGTAATGCAGTAGAAGAGAAACTTAACACCCGGTTTTAGCCCTCGCATTGAATCCCAGACACACACACACACACACACATGCTGTGTTTATTGGATTTATGTGATTTTTGGGGGTCTTGAGGATAGAATTACTGAATTTTCTTTGGAAAAAGAAACAGTGTTATAATGAAAAGTACAGATATGGTCAGCCTCAGTACATATTGAATTACATGTACAGTTACTTGATTACACTAACTCAAGTAAGTGTATTTAATGCTAAGTTACTACCGAAACCTATTTATTATAACATATTTATTCAAGTTCTTAAAAATATATATTTTTAAAACTGGATTTCTCTGACTCCTTCAGTATTTAATATGCTTGGCGAGCAGCAACACACTTAATTTTGCAGATGTTTGCTTTAATACACAGATTTTGACAATCAGATGTTGGCACTGATCAAATGTCTGGGGCTCCCCAAAGTGATTACAATCCATCTATCCAACTGTAGTTGAGACATTTCACTCTTAAACAAAAAAAAGTCAGTCCACTGGTGGCACTAAAAGAAGAGTCATCTGGGAACCACTATGTCTGCAGCATTTTTTGTTATAATAAATCTAGTAGATGACATATTTCAGTGGATAATTGAAAACCTTCTCCTGCTGCTGGCAGTAGAGGAAGATAATCATTAGGGTCCTCTGCTAACCATTAATGAATGTGCAGAATTTCATGGCAATACATCTAAAAGTTGTTGAGATATTTCATTCTCGACCAGCATTGCTATTCCTAGATCCCAGCCTCTGGTTTTGGAAAACATTATGATACTCCATGTAATGTTGGAAATTGGCAATCGTTGTCAATTTGCCAACATGTCTTCTGCCCTGTCATTACTGTATGAGTGTGTGTGTGTGTGTGTGTGTGTGTGTGTGTGTTGTCATCTATCATTATAGGA